TTTTTTTTTTTTTTTTTTTTTTTTGAACTTTTAATCGTAGGTCTTATTGCAGTATTTACTTGAACTGAATTTTCTGTTTATGTCCTTCACTTTCTAGTAATGTTTGCTTTAATTTAGGTCCCACGTTTTTTGTTGCATTCTGTTCTGGTTGCAAAGAAGCAGAAGCTGCTGATGCTGCAGAGGAAAATGTGAGATGTGCAGGAGGTTTCCAGAAATTCAGTACCATCCTTCATGGCTTGGCAGATTGTCTTACATGTCTTGGAAATGGTATTCTGGTAAGCATCATTAAGGATCTTTCATCGCTTCCTCTCTTCTTTTCAATACCCCACCCAATCATAATGAATAGTAAAAAATTGAGGACTATCACTTGATCCTGTGACGTTGGTACTCAAGAAACTTGAGATTTGGAACCTTACCACTTAGCTTTAGTGTTCGGTTTCTGTTGCCATGAAATTGAGGACGTTGATGAGAAAATTATTGTGGGCGAGTGTTAAAGGAGGCAACTGGTGAAATTTTCGATGGTAAGACTTTAACAGCCCAAGCCAACCGCTAGCAGATATTGTCCTCTTTGGGTTTTTCCTTTCGGGCTTCCCCTCAAGGTTTTCAAAATGCGTTTGTTCTCCTAATAAAGAATGATTTGTTCTCCTCCGCAACCAATGTGAGATTTCACAAAGACTTTTGTAAATGGAAGAAATCTCTTCTGTTTAGAGATAGGAGACCTTCTCTAGTTTCTAACCTGTTTCAATTCAATTTTTACTATTCCTGCTTTGTAGCCAAGAGGGTCGATGTTTGGAGACGTGCCCCGTTATCGACTGTATGTCATCAGGGCTAGACAGTCTAAATTTATTGTTCCATCTAATTCAAATTGTAGTAAATTTTATAATTCATCCACGTCTTTGATGTAAAGGTATTATACCTTTGTTCTTGCAGGAGTTGAAACTTCGAAGAAGCACCGTTCTTTTGCTTGCATTTCTGTCATCATCCGGGAAAGCGGGCTTCGAAATTCTCGTAAGCAACACACTACATAAGGACTCAAATTTTCTCACGTTGATTCTTCAAGTTGTGGTTTCAGAAGTTGAGCAAGAAAAAAGAGTTTCAGAGGCAGTAGAAACTATGGAGGAAAGGTAATTGATGAGATTCCACAATTCCTCGAGACTACACAACTTTTCCTTTCCCTCATTTCATAATCTTCTCATAAAAATCATGCATATTTTTCTTGGAATGTCATTACCCAGGGCCTTGCTTTTACGGGAAGTGCTTATACTTCTAAATAGGCTTGCATCTCATTCGGTATACTCGGCGACGGTCTTGCGTGTGTTGACAAGCAGCAGAGATATGGCCAGCCTCACCATTGATGTAACGAACAAGCTGTCCAGGAAAAACAACAGAAATTGCCAGTTTGACAGCAAGAAAAGAAAGATGAGGGAATCTGAAGTTGTGGACTTGGCCCAGGTATTTCGCAAAAGAGTTCTTACATATTTGGGAAACAGCATAATACTATAAACCACTTTTCATGCTTGGAAGAACACTCCCTCATTGGTTTGAAGTTTTGTCATCCCATTAGCATAGTTGGGAAATTTTGTAGTTTTAAGCATGGTGTATATTCTTCAAAAAAAAAAAAAAGAAAGAAAAAAGACGGTAGAAAGATGTCGGGCGCCGTAACATGGCTGCAATCGTTGGAATTGGTTGGTCGCTTGCTTAAATCTGATTTTTGCTCTCTTTAACGAATTTCGTTTTTGCTAGAGAGATTTGTTTTTTCTAAAGATTCTTGTCGATTCTCTGGGGGTAATTTTTTTGTTGCCAGTGTTTTCGGAATTTAGAGGATTATCATCTGCTTCACTTCAAGTGAAAGAAATTGCTGAGAAATGGTTGTCACATGCTTTTGAAGAATCCCTTTTTTTTTTTTTTTTTCCCTTTTCAACTATACGATTATCACAGCAAAATTCATTTTGGACATGAAATCAATAATTTAGGTTCGTCAAGAAATTTCTTTAAATGTTTTGCAAGTGATTTTGAGTTTAATTATAAATCACCTAAATTGATTTTCAATGGATTGGCATTGTATTTATTGCATTTTAGTTGATCAACATATTCCCCAAAACTGAAATGGCATAGAATTGCATTAATCATTCATCACTATTTTCTTCCGAACCTCATTACTCAATACATTAATGAAGCTCACAATATCAAAATTTTTGTAATTAAATAGAAAATGCATACTTTTCAATTATAAATTTAAGAAAAAAAACAAACAAAAACAAAAGCTATTTTGCTAATCAGTCTTCATCGTCGGAATCATCGAATGTAATCTTAGTGGACTTGGGGGCATCTGCCGTAATTTCCTTGAAGTGCGCTCCATAGAGCTTGGATTCCTGCAGTGAAGCATTAACATCTCCATTAATTAATGTTCTGTACAAGCTTATCGTTACTATATATATATGTATGTATGTATGCATGTATATATATATATATGGATACATAGATACATATAGATATATAGATATACATACATACATATGAGAGAACATGCCGCTCCACATGTTTAGAAAATCACTAAAGCGAACAGTTGCCGATATCAAAATCATTTGAAAAATGCAACCATGAGCAGAAAGTGACACATTTTAACATACAAATCTTACAAAAAAGATCTACCTACTCCAACAATCAACCCCATATTAACGAAAAAAGAAGGGTTAAATTACAAATTTCGTGTCAAAAGTATCTAATAAATCTTTCTAACTTAAAATTTTATGTATAATAAGTCCGTTAGAAATTAAGAGGTATACAATATCAAAATTTATGTTCAATAAAACTATTTACTTTTCAACTGAATTATAAAAAATATCGAAGTTAAAGAGGACTCAATTTAGACTATCCAAAGTACATAAAAAAAAAAAATTAGTTTAACACAACAAAAACCATGAACAGGATACTTGATTTGAGTTCACAGACAAGAATAATGTACCTTTTTCTTCACATGAGTACCGAATTTCAGAAGTGCATCAGGTACAACTTGCTTAGCTTCACGGAGAACATTTACCAGCTCCCCAGCAAGTCCCTAAAAGAATGGCAAAAAAGGTTAAAGGAATTCAATAGATCAAATTATTTTATTCGATTTAAAAAGGGGCGTAATATATATATATATATATAGCCAAGATAACCTTGTTTTGTTGCATGAAGAATGTGTGAGCAACACCCTTTTTACCAGCCCGTCCAGTCCTCCCAATTCTATGGACATAATCTTCCGTTGTGAGAGGAAAGCTATAGTTTATTACTACTTCTACATCCGGAATATCCAAACCTCGAGCGGCTACATCAGTAGCTATCTATAATTACAAGAAAATATACATTTTAGCAACCCATAAATAACTATTAAAATAAAAATGAAATTTATATTTGTAGAGGCATTGAATATTCCTACAACAGAAAGCAGTGTAGCATGAAAAATATACTTCTACTGTCACACTATAAATTACAAACAACGGGTACTTAACCATTTGGCTTTTACATTTTCAATCTTTTTTTTTTTTGCGGCTGAGCATAATGTGTTGCAAGATATCAAAATAGACCTATTACACGATCTCCAAGGCCAAGAAGATTCAACGAGCATTCATTCTGCCTCTACAAAATTGGATAGGCTTGGTTCAACCATTATTTCACGTGTTACAAGTTGATTCGATTGAGTATTTACATGAAGTTGCTATAAATTGCATTAGAAAATTTTATTATTTTAATTTTATAATTTCTTGGAATTGGGAAAGGGGAAAGTTAATTATCAAAGTGGCTATAACTTTTTTGGGAATGGGAGTTAATTATGGTCTCTAACGTTTTTAGTGGGCATTTGAAGAGTTAAAAGTTTTTTTTTTTTTTTTTTGTGGAGAGATTATAAATACCGATAAAAGACAGATTTTTTATGAGTGAAATTTAGCTCTCAAATTGAGACTTTCATATCTCGAAATTTAAGTATCATTTTTGTCATTTTTAAGCCTTTATTAAGTTAAGATGGTGGAGTGACTCAATTTAGAACAAGGTTCCAAATCTTTTCTAGATCTTTGATCTTAAGAGATAATCTAATTCTAACCTTATCTCTTGGTTGATCCGAATCATGTATAAAGAGGTGTTGATTTCCTTAATTCAAGGGCTCTTGCTTCAATAAAATCTTGGATCATTGGGCTAAGGATTAGGATGGTCTTATCAAGAAGGTATAAGGAGGTGTTGATTTCTTTAATTCAAGGGCTCTTATTGAAATCTTGGATCATTGGGCTGAGTTATCAAGAAGGTTAATTCATATAAATGTATACCAAAAGCCAAGAGCCAAAAAAAAAATCTCAAAAAAAGTGAACCATGATGAGATCAAATTTAAGAGCCTTGTGACAATATCAAAATAGCAAGAAACAGCAGAAGGAACAACTATTTGCAAATGCATACCATTAATGGAGAGCTTCCGCTTTTAAATAATGACAGTGCTTTTGTGCGTTCAGTTTGTGCTTTATCACCGTGTATAGAAACAGCCTTCCATCCCCTAGAGAATAATAACAGGCAGAAAGAGAGAGATCATCCATTAAAAAGTAAAATTAATGTCCTGAATCTAGAGAAGAGCCAAAATTGTTGATCCCAACATACTACGATGTAAAATAATTATTACCTTCTCTGAAGCATGTTTTCAACTCGTGAAGCTTCATTCTTGTACAAGACAAAAACTAATACTCTGTTCCTGAAAAGAAAATAACTCATTAATGCCAAACAATTATTCTCCAATGCTCATGTATAATGATATCCCACCATAGGACGTTAAAAGGGAATCAAATAATTGGGTGTTTGAAAATAAAATATCTCCCCACTTCAGAGTGCTTGTTTACTATTGGGTTGAAAGATTCCCTCGTTTATTGTTTTTACGATTTTACAATCCCTAGCCACTCACCCTCCTCCCATGAAAAACTGTCTAACAGTGAGATTAAACAACAAATACAAATGTCTAACACGAACCAATGTAATAGAATAACAAATCATTAATTAGAATAATTTCATATTCTTAAAAGGAGTAAATACCTTTGAGATTTATGGTATTTTTCAAGCAGAGCCACTAAACGATTATCACGTGATCGATCATCCAAAACCTATCCATGTCAATGATTAACGATTATTAACTCTATTTATCTTAATTTAGATGCCCAAATCTCATCTGGATACGACAGATATACCTCAACTATTTGCATGACATCATGATTGGCAGCCAAATCCTCTGAACCTACAACAACCTGTCATAAAATGCTTACTCCTTAAAAAGTTAAAGAATAAAAAATTAGGATATAATTGAGTACTTTCAAAATGTGCACACCTTTACTGGATCAGGATCCATGAATTCTTGAGCCAATTGATTAACTTGTAGAGGCCATGTAGCGCTAAACATAACCATCTGGCGTTCTGCAAAAGAATGAGTTTAATATGAGGGCATAGCACCACAAAATTTTCAGTCTTGTAGAGGCAAACTTAAGATATAACAGTCATTAAGAAATGTGAGAGAATGATTGAGCAAAAAGTAAAACAAAGACAGTGCAAATGAAGACCAAATATCTCAACCTTTACAAGTCTGGCTTAATATAAAGCGCACTTCTGGTTCAAATCCCATGTCCAACATTCGATCTGCTTCATCAAGGACCTACAAGAAGTTAAGCTGTCTTATTAATAGGCTTACATAACAGAATGGGTAAAAGAATTATCATCGAACCAACAGCAAGATAATAGGATGGACCTAACAAAACATATTATCACTAATCAGTATTCTCTTTCAAAGTCATTTTGTAAAATAATAAAAATTAATTAATTAAAAATTGCATGCGCACTGTTCATAGCTGCTCAATGTCCTTAAGGTGCACCCTTGATTTTTTCATTCTTTTTTTTTTAATTTTTTTTATTTTAAAAAAGCACACCCAAATTGTAATCAACGCGAGTGGGTTTATGCAACACAGGGTTTGAAATTTTTATAGCTCTTTTTACTAAAAGTTTTTTCAGCTTTCATGGATAGAAATTGAAAGAGTATAAGTAAAAAGGGCAATAACAAGACCAGAGGTTAAGAACAAAACTCATTAAAATTCTGAGTCCCAAAGAGGCATAAATCCTAACATTCAACCAAACCTCCACTGAGGAATGCTCTGAATTGGATCAGATGATATTTTCAACTTCTATAGTATAGGATATTATAGTTCACAGATTCCCATATAGATGCATCATGGCTGATTAGCAATCCTACCCCGTGCTTCAATACTTCAATATTTAATGACACAACTATGTTAATTCCATGCTGTAATGCATATTTTTTCTACATGAACACCTTGCACCCTACATAAACGCACAAAATGGCAAATAGAGAAACATAAAGCCCAAAAAAGAGATAGACATCAATAGATTTAACTCAAAGTGACCATTTATCAGCTAAGATTAAGAAAATACAGGTTCTCATATGAATGGTACGAAAGATTAGTCACATACCACAAAGGACACTTCTGAGAGTCTGCAGACCTCCATTTCCATCAAATCCTTTAACCGTCCAGGAGTTCCAATCACAATGTCCTGAGTGTAAGATCATAAATGTGTGATTTTCAGGGCGTAGAGACTGTGTGCAGTTTCTTTTCATTTTTTGAAAAAAAAATGAAAAGAAACAAAGACTTATTTCAAAAAATGAAAAGAAACAAAGACTTATATTAACCAACATGGGAGGGGGAAAGAGAGAGAGAGAGAGAGAGAGAGAGAGAGAGAGAGAGAGAGAGACATGAGTGTGCGTGTTTCCTATAAATTATAAAGTAAATGGTACCGTATTATCATCCAAAATGTGAAACAAGAAAAAAACTCAGTAAAGTAACGAGTGAA